AAAAAAAAAAAAGTCATAGTATAGTATTTCGTCCCGAATCCTGAAAAAAAGTCATAGTATAGTATGTCATCCCAAATCATAAAAAAAAAGTCGTAGTATAGTATGGCGTCCCAAATCATGAAAAAAAAGTCATAGTATAGTATGTTGTCCCAAATCATGAAAAAAAGTCGTAGTATAGTATGGCGTCCCAAATCATGAAAAAAAAAGTCATAGTATGTCGTCCCAAATAATGAAATAAAAGTCATAGTATAGTAAGTCATCCCAAATCATGAAAAAAAGTCATAGTATAGTATGTCGTCCCAAATCATGAAAAAAAGTCATAGTATAGTATTTCTATCAAAATCGTGGGGAAAAAAAAGTCATGGTACAGTACGTCGACCAAAATCATGAAAAAAGGTTATAGTGTATGTCATCCCAAATCAAGAAAAAAGTCATAGTATAGTATGTCGTCCCAAATCATGAACAAAAGTCATAGTATAGTATGTCATCCCAAATCATGAAAAAAGTCATAGTATAGTATAGTATGTCAAAAAAAAGTAATAGTATAGAGTGTCATAAAAAAGTCATAACATAGTATGTCATTAAAAGTCATAGTATAGCATGACAAAAAAAGTCATAGTACAGTATTTCTATCAAAATCGTGGGGAAAAAAAAGTCATGGTACAGTACGTCAACCAAAATCATGAAAAAAGGTTATAGTGTATGTCATCCCGAATCAAGAAAAAAGTCATAGTATATTATTATCACAAACATGAAAAAGTCATAGTATAGTATGTCAAAAAAAGTAATAGTATAGAGTGTCATAAAAAAGTTATAACATAGTATGTCATTAAAAGTCATAGTATAGCATGACAAAAAAAAGTCATAGTACAGTATGTTACAAAAACATAGTAAAGTATGTCATAAAAAATGTCAGTACAGTATGTCAAAATAATCATAGTATAGTATGTCATTAAGTCATAGTATGGTATGTAAAAAAGAAAAGAAAAAAGTAATAGTATAGTATGTCAAAAAACATCATAGTATAGTATTTCAAAAAAGTCAGTATAGTATGTCAAAAACATCATAGTATAGTATTTCAAAAAAAGTAATAGTATAGTATGTCAAAAAACATCATAGTATAGTATTTCAAAAAAGTCATAGTATAATATATAAAAAATGTCAAAGTATAATTGGTCAAAAAAACTATCGAATGTAAAAAAAGTCATAGTACAGAGTGTCAAAAAGTCATATTTTAGTATTTCATAAAAAATGCTATGAAAATTTCATAGCATGGGATGTCATGAAAAAAACCATAGGTTGTATAGTATAGTACAGTATGACATGAAAAATAGCATAGTATAGTATGTAAAAAAAAAAAAGGTCATACTATTGTATGTCAAAAAAAGTCAGTACAGTATGCCAGGAAACGTCATAGTATAGTATGTCATAAAAAAGTCAGTATAGTATGTCAAAAAAATCATAGTATGGTATGTCAAAATAATCATAGTATAGTATCATAAAAAAGTCATAGTATAGTTTGTCACAAAAAGTCACAGTATAATATGTAAAAAAAATAGTAAAGTATGTCATTAAAAGTCATATAGTATTTCAAAAACATCATTGTATAGTATGTTAAAAAAGTCATAGTATTGTATGTCATAAAAAAGTCATAGTATTGTATGTCATAAAAAAGTCATAGTATTGTATGTCATTTAAAAGTCATAGGAAAGTATGTTGTAAATGTAAAATAGAACATGTCAGAAAAAAGGCATAGTATGGTTTTTCATAAAATGCCATAAAAATGTATGTAAAAAAGAAAAAGTGAAATATGTAATAGTAAGGTATGTGTGTGATGTAACAATTTTATTAGAAAAGTTGTAGTATAGTAAGTTGCTAAAAATGGCACAAAAATTTCAGTTCAATATAGTGTCATTTCATAATATTGCATGCAATAAAAAACAACATCATAGTATCATAGTAACATAGTAACATCATTAAATGGTGGCCTTCACATACTTCGTCCAACTGTGTGCCCCTCCGAAAAGCATCTGTCAGGTTACGAATGTTTACCTGCAGCATGGCAACGACTCCCTTGATTGGCACTTAGTCATCAAAACTTTGAAAAACCCTGCATTTATTGTATATCCATCGCAAGAAGAGTTACAAAGTTGGAGGCGTGTTTGTTGGGATATGTGCTAGATGGTAGGTACATGTCCTCTTTCCTTCACCTAGCAACTCTACTGCATTTACTGTAAGCCATATATTTTCTTTTCAACTATTTATGTACAATTTTAACACGTCTGTTTTCTCTGCAATTTACCTGAAAAGATCATTAATCATTACAGAGTGCAGAGCTGAAGAAAACAGTTGCTGCCAAGACAACAACCGTCTCTTGGTTGTCTTTGTTCAACAATTGGTTTAATCTTCGAGAAAAAGAGTTTCACACAATACCAAACTGTGAGTAATGGTTTCCTAGTAACTACAGGACTTCATGTTCTCGAATAAATGATTCCAGGTCAAACTTTGGGTCACAAGCTGTTTAGCTGTGTGTGTGTGTGTGTGTGTGTGTGTGTGTGTGTGTGTGTGTGTGTGTGTGTGTGTGTGTGTGTGTGCAAGTATGTGGCTGAGTTCACAAATCCCCAGCACCTTCATACATCTTTTATGAGAGCTTTAGTGAGAACTCTGGTACTTACAGACACCACCAGGATTCTGCACTTCTTGTTAATATCGACACAAACAACCACAGCGGTCAGGAAATGTGAAAATAGAGTTACACAGTGGTGAAGCCTGTACAGGCAAATGGTGGCCTGAAGGTTGGAGAAAATGGAAAGATGCCAGTTCAAATCTGTGACCTGTGTGGTGGAGGACGAACTTGCATCACTTGCCTTAAAGTTGTCCTACATTCAACAGTGTACTGAAGTACAGAAGCAGATCAGAAAAATGCAAACAAAACATCAAAAGTAGAAGCGCTCATTATGCAGAATAGCCCATTTCACAGTGTTACATTATTACATATTCTGTATTTACATTATATTTACTGATGTATTAATGTGAAAGCAACATTTTCATGTTTAGCTGGTAGAAGTGTAGCTAATTTTCCCTGCTAAATGTACTAGTTTAATCTATAACAATGTGCCAAAAGTACTGTTGGACACATTTGTTTAATCTGTATAATGCATTGTGTTTAATAAGCCTATCACATAATTTAGATCAAAATTTTAGCTTGCAAAAAAAATTGTAACTGTCAAATAAATGTATTGAAGTATACAATGTTGCAACATTTACCACAAATTCAACCAATCCCCATTAATTCTGAACTACCTTGCAATTCCGTCCAATCTCTGCAATTTTTTTATTTGAGTGATTTATTTACTTCTTTTTTTTTTGCCTTACTTTGGTTGCTAAGGTCTTTTGTGCAATGGTTTAGGGATTCCTTAAGTGCAGGACCAAGACAATGAGAAAACAGTGAACATTTTAAGAAAACCTTAAAAAGAAGACTTAAGGGTGTTTAATCTCAATTTTATTTTGAGGAAACCTTAACCAGGACTTTAAGGAAAATCTTAACCTAAGGTGTTTTGTGCAACCGGCCCCAGGCACTTACCATAGTGGCTAAATCATTGAAAGAGCCAACATGTTTCGACCACCACAGGTTTTCATCAGGCATTTAAAAACTGTCTGTGGAATATCTTGAGTAACTGGGTCATAATTTCTGTAGAGAGACATTGCTGTTGAGTTCTTCAAATGTATTTATGTGGTGCTTTGAGCACCACGAGCTGAGTGCCATCTTGTTCCACTATATTCAAGAGAATGCAGACATTTCAGCCAATACAGCCGATATCTCCAACACTCTGCAACTCACACCAAAACAATCCAGACTGATAAATAACACTACAGGCAGAAGGTAAGAAGACATATATCTATCTTTGATTTTGGGGTGAACTGTTCCTTTAACCATGTATCCTAACCTTGACTTCCCTCAACAAGAGAGCATTGTGATTGTAATGGAAGTTTTGAAGTGTAAAAGTGTGGACATGCACATATGTGTTGTTCAGATAGTAAATATGTCAGATGGAGGTTGCTCGATAAAAAAAAACATCTGGTAATTACAAGACTTTGGTATTTGATCATCAGTCAAGATTTTTAAATGTTCTAAATGTTTTATCATAGCTGAATTTTACAAGAAAAGATATGACTCTGGTTGAGTTTGTGCTACAGAAATGGATCTGATAGTTTCAGGAATGTGAAGTTAAAACTGCAAACACTTCAGCAGGAGTCTCTTACCGTCCTGTGCATCTTGTCCTCCAAATCCTGGTTGATCCTCTGAAGAGCTGCATAGCTACTCTGGATCCTGAAAGAACAGGAGAAGAATCATTACGGCCTGTTCAAAATTCAAACCACAACACATGATGACTAAAGAGTATTTAACTGTTCGTACTGCTAAGTACGCACCAGTAATCTCCACATAATTTTAGTCAGAGAAATAAATAAATTACTACATCAGGGCACTGACGGAGACTCTCGGAGGGGATTTGCAGGATATTTTAAGGACTGACTCAGATTTGGAGATCACTGAGGATAAAAATCTGCTGAGCCAAAACACAGTAAAAAGGGTTGATGATATGTTGAAGTGCCACAGCAGGGGATTCTAACAAAATAACCACAGCTACAACATGAAATATATATAAAAAAAATCTACAATAGGAAATCAGTAAACATTCTCAAGCAGACCCGTAGCACTGACTGAAGACTTCTTTTAATTCTCTCATCACTACTGCTCTTTGGTAGATTTCCAGTGCATTAGTGATCTTAATGGAACAGGACCTTGACTCTTTATTTGTTAACTTGTTCCCGGTGTTTTTATCATGTCAGCTCTCAGTTCAGTATCACATTTTCACATTAGCTCTCGGGCCGAACAGAGTGTTGATAAACTGGCATTTATGGCTCCATTAACCTGACAGATATGGAGAGTGTGGGCAGTGCAGACAAAACGCAAAGACAAACCATAAAACAAAGACCTGAGAGAGATTTGAGTGAGCTCAAAGGGAGCGTAAATGAAAATAAAGGAGTGGCACTGGAAGAGAGTGGTTCGCTGATTGATGGAGAACAAACAAAACCGGCCATTATGAGCAACATTACCAAGTGCTGTTACTCATTTAAGAGGAGCATAAAACCCGTGTCTTTCAGGCAGCTCTCTCCGTCTTCAACAAGCTCTACCAATCATTCACATAGTTAAAATAGGACCAAGGGGTTGGGACTGGGTTGTGCTGATCAAAATAACATGAGATAGAATTTGTGCAGAGTCTGTGGAAATCAGACTGTAGGTGAGAAAGTCTCCTGGGCACATGCAAATGCCTCGTCCGCCAAGTTTCAAGGAGGAGTTTCAAGTTTATTTAAACAGCATATTGTACATGCACATAGATGCTAATTAGATTATCCTGTCAGAGGACCACAGAAATAAGATGAATTGGTGCTTCTAACACCTTGGGAAAACAGAAATAGCCAATTAAAGCAAGGCAGCTGCAAACCTATTGGGTGACAAAGTCATCAATACCGGTCAGGTCTACAAAACCCTGGATTATACTAAGTTCAATGATTCTTTTTTCTTGATTTGTCCTTTTTACATTATCTGCTCATGGCATCTACAACATGGTTAAAGTTAGGGAAAGATGGTAATAATGCCAAATTAAAGGTACACTATGCAGATTGCATGGCTGTCAATTTATCTGCAGAGACTCTGCCCTCTGCCTTTCTTTGTGGTTGGGAAGTATTTGGGTGTGTAGCCCAAGTGGCAACCTCTGAGGTTGAAAAAGAAGTTCCAAAAAAACTGCAGTTTCTCTAATGGCCACTTGAGGCTGCCTCCAAAAGCGAGTCAATCCTCATAGACCCGTGTTAAAAGGCCTAACTTTTGGGGGAGAGGTGGGGTATACCCTTGACTCGCCCTCACATTCTCACCTACGGGCACCTTCAGGTTGGGTGTGACTTAATGCCACAAGCGAGGGACTTCAAGTATCTTGGGGTCTTGTTCACGAGTGAGGGTAGAATGGAGTGTATATGGACTGGTGAAGAGAGAGCTGAGGTGGAAGGCAAAGCTTTTGATTTACTGGTCCATCTACGTCCCAACCCTCACCTATGGTCATGAGCTATGGAAAACGTCTGAAAGAATGAGGTCTTGGATACAAGCGGCCAAAATGAGTTTCCTCAGAAGGGTGGTGGGCTCAGCCTTAGAGATAGGGTAAAATCCGGAGGGAGTAGAGCCGCTGCTCCTTTGCCTTGAAAGGGGTCAGTTGAGGTGGTTCGGGCATCTGATCAGGATGCCTCCTAGGCACCTCCAATTAGAGGTGTTCCAGGCACATCCAACTGGTAGGAGACCCCAGGGCAGACCCAGAACACACTGGAGGAATTACATATCTTGTCTGGACTGGGAACTTCTTGGGGTCCCCCAGGAGGAGATGAAAGGTGTTGCTGGGAAGAGGGATGTCTGGAATACATTGCTCAGCCTGCTGTCCCCAGCTTCGGATAAGCAGTTGAAAATGGATCGATAGATGGAATTAACATAACCTGCATGATTTTGGACTGTGGGAGGGAGCCGGAGAATTCGCAGAAAACCCATGCTGACAGAAAAATATGCAAACTCCACACAGGACCTCGTTCAAACCTTGGTCCCTCTTGCTGTGAGGTGACAGTACTAATCGTTGTACCACCGTGCCACCCATGTTTATGAACAGTAACAGTTCGTGCATAATATACCTGTAACTATTGTAAAACTATGGTTAAAGTTAGGGAGAGATCATGGCTGCAGTTAATACTTCATGTTTGAAACAAGGAATGAACACTTGTCTCCTGCATGATATTCAGATGCTTGACACCACAGTCACTGCTTCCTGTACTGAATGTATGCATTTGTAGGTAGAGGTGTAGAATCGTCAAATATGGACCTAATTACTTGGGATACTGGGCTGCAAATGAGCTGAGTACCACTCTCATGGCCGTTAATGACATGTAACAGCATGTAAAAAACCTCATCTATCACCTAATTTCCTTGTCGACACAGTTCGACTTTGCTGGGTTTCTCCCTGATTGGAATTTGACAGTTCATGCATACATAAAAAGGCGAGCTGCCCACTGAGTCATGCACACGTGCACACACACCTGCGTAGTTTCTCTGTAAATTTCTCCAGTTCCTCCTGGGCCCGGCGCAGCTCAGTCTCAAGGTACTGCCGAGTGGAATCAAACTCCGTCTCCACCATCTCTAGTTTGTGGGTGGTGTAGGACAGGCGCTTGCGGAGGTCATCCTTGTGGTCGTGGAAAGAGCTGAATGTACAGCAGAGAGAGTTTAGAGAACAGGGAGACGCAGTCACAACACTGATGTACTTTCATGGCTATCCAAGTTTGTCAGATTCATTGAGCCAAGCAGAGAGAGGAAGAGGAAACAGACAGAGAGAGAAAAGGCAGTAAAGTAAAAGCTAAAGTGTGTTTGTGTTTGTGTGAGAGAGAGGGAAAGGGATGAAGTGTAGCTGGAGCGTAATTCAGTCCGGAGTGAGAAAGGTCCCAGGCAAGGGGAAGGCAGTAAAGCCGATGGGGAGGAGGAGATGGATGGAGGAGGAATACTAATCATTTCCCATTCACAGGGTGGGAGCAAAGCTGGGAGAGGAGCTCCCATCGGTGTAATGGTGAATTCCATTACACAACCCCCCTATTGAATCTCTGAAAGAATAGGAAAAGGATTTTTCTGCCCCCAGACACACACCGTGGGTGATTCATAGAAAAGAAAATACAGAATGGGCCACGGCTTTAAAAGAGGGTGAAAGAGGCAGAAAGAGCATGAGAGAGCGTAGGTGAGAATAGCACCGTTTCAACACCATCAACAGCAACAACATAGCAGACAGGGAGCAATATTTCGTTCATTTGATGCAGGTTTGAGTGTGGGGATGAAACACATAGACTGGGACTGACTAAGGGAATGGATGTGGTAATGAAAGGCTAGAGATGGGGAGCAGGGTCTGTGTGCGCTCTGGGGGATTTAGCATTTTGCCAGACTGATGGATACTTGGCTCACAGATAGGTTCGATGGCTCAGCGCTGCCAACCAGCAGGCGCAACGAGTGCACCTCCAAGCCCACCTCGGCCCAGAGCCTCAATTAGGAAGCTGGCAGTAAAGGAGGAGAAAATGGTGTCCACAGAAAGACTTATAGATGGTGTGTCAATATGAAGGTGGGACAATGGACTACCTTTGGTGTCTGGGTACGTGGTTGAAGCTCTCCAATAATTAAGCCTTTTTCAAGCAATAAGAAGTCAGTATATAAAAAAAAGTATAAAAAAAAAAAAAAAAAAATTAAAATATAAGCAGCCGAGCAAAAATATGCCCATAAACGTGGTGTTAGAATAGTAAATAAACATCTGGCTGTGTGCAAAAACAGCACTACATTTCAAAGGAATAGATATACAATTTGAACAATATGCAAATGTCTTTGCAAGAATGTTGCATAGTTACTGATACCACTTCTCATCAGCTGTTTGCTAAAAGGCATAGTATATAGTCCTTTTCATACATGCACTGCAAACATTAAATATTTAGACACTACCCGAAGGAGCTGTATATAAAAATGGAAATATCCTAATCAGTTGGAATGGACATTAAACAGACCTTACCCTGCCAGCTCCTCGGTACAAAGTCTGTAATGTCTGATTGAGCCCATGTGTGAATAGAGCGGGTAATTGTCCTGAAGGATTCACAGCAAGCGAGTGGGTGTGTTGACGACGTTCCTGTCATGCAGATTGCTTGAAACTAAGGTTGATGTGCATTTGTCCAACCAAATTCTCATCGGTCACACAATCACTGGTGTTACTTTAATAAGGCCGTGTGTCCACCAAAGCTTTTTTTTCCTCAGCTGAAAACAGTTGTTGTTCAGCAGTAGATTTGTCCACTGTGATGGTCACACAGGAGCCCTTGTTGTAGCAGCACGATGGCTAACGTTAGCTAGTAAGTCTCTTTCTTGTATGCAGTGTCACAGACATATTTAATGTTAGTAACGTTGTATATGACATCATCAACCCCTATAGTGTCCAGTATGTCAGATTTTTCTCATCTGTCCTGTTCAACCCTTAGAGGTGTGACAGACTTGCACACGCAGCTCAGATGGAAAAGCGTTACAGTGTGCCATTTATTTACGGATAATATTACATTGGAGATCACATTTATTTTTCACTCGAGGCATTCCACTTGAATGAACCATGAGTTTACTTGCCCTGGGTAGGTGTTAATGTGGAGCTCTGTGACAGGAAGAAACACTTTGTTGGATGCACAATGCTACCAGGTAGAGTGCACTGTGGCCAAATGATTTAATCTAGAGATAACGTGCAGGTGTTTAACCCAATCAACCAAGCGATCGGTTGAAGAGTAGGTAGAGTTTCAGTCGACCAAGATTTTCTTTGGTTGACCACAGCTTGAGAAAACCAACATCTAAAGGTGCAGAAGAAGAAGAAGGGTCATTTTCAAGATAGAAACGGAAATGTCTCATTGGAGAGTTGACCAGATTTGGGAACTTTTGTCAGTAAGGGCTGAAATCAAGAGACAAATTCAAGGAACAACTAAATTATGAACTAGCTCCCTGACCACTGTGTAATCTGTGTCACACCCTGCCTCCTGCATGTACTATCCAGGTACCAGCAATCGCCTAAACCAACACAGTATTTACAGTAGGTGCAAACACTTCTAACACAGACAGTATTCTGTTGTGTGCTGCATGCATAAAAGGGAAACTCTGGACAATGTCCGGACCTGATCCTCTGCATATTATCCGGACTTATCATTTGTCTTCAAATCTCACTCTTGCAAACAAAGCAAGTAAGCGAATTTAAAAAATGTTCCTTTATAAATGTTTGACAGACAGATGAGTCATTGAATAGTTTATGCATCCAGCACGATGAGGCTCGCAGACTCAGCCAACTCCGCTTGCCTCACGCTACAACAAAACAAAATCTTTACAACCTCTAACAGCTGCAAGTGGTGTTGTAAAATCACATGGCAAAGAGCCAGAGAGCTATTGTAAGTACATGTGAAAATTGCTCTGGGCTCTTATCACTATGTAATGCCAGTTTAATTAAGTCTGAGCACACAGCCATTGATTTTTTATTTTTTTATTTATTTTTTTTTTTTTTTTGTAGGTATTACTTTTTTTTTTTTTTTTCACATGTCCAGATGTATAAGACTAAAGCGCAGTGCAGCATTAACTTGGATGTAGATGTCAGCTGATACATGACAGGAGAGATGAAGATGAGTGATGGGAATGAATAGATGCCACATTATGTTTTTAATGTCTTTTTAATGGTGATGACCTCCCAATGAGAATCCATTTCCATTAGTCAAAATGAATGAAATGGATCCGCCGACAATGAGGCTGATGTTTAGAGTTTAAAACACTCCCCAGACTGACTCATCTTACCTTCTTTTCTGATGTTTGCAACCATTTCTCTGTGTTTTGAGGGCAGTTTTGCCAATGTATATCTTTTTCATATTTTTCTCTCTGCCTTGGCTCTCATGTGTGTATAGCTGTTGCCTCTGCTGCCGCTGCTGCTGCTGCTGCTGCTGCTGGTCGGCTGAATGTCGAAGCCAAGTTTGAACTCTAACCACAACCAACAGTCAAAGCTCTAAGTCTTGCCTGGGGAGGCAGATAGGAGTTGGCTATCTGTGATGACCCTGGCAAGAGAGCAGAGAAAAACAGCTTTGAAGTCCCGCAGATTTAGCAGCACATTTAGTTCTGTTGACTCCAGAGAAAAACTGCGATTTTGGGTGCATTCAAAAAACAAGCCAGCTTGGTGTGATGAAGCACAACTGGGGGATCAATTAGATAAAGTTCAGTAAACAAACTTAAAGAGCATGCAATACTCTGAATTATTGCACCTTCCGCTGAACTTTGCTCTTCCTATGGAAATATCAATGCACAAAGATCTTTTTCCTATGAGTCTATAATCCAATAAGCACATTTCTAAATATAACCAACACAAGTTACACTGTAAAAGCAAACTACAACACTGAATGTAGAAAAATTAATATTCCTATCACTTGTGCCTCCTTTTTCATCATTTCATTCTCTCTCATGCTTGGAACAATTGAATGCAGCCACCGCAAACTACAGGACCCTATGGAATAGTGAGTTATTGACCAGCTGACCACAGAGGTTATTCCTCAATAAATCAGTGTTATGATGAATGCGTGTGTGTTTCCATTTCCATCTTTCATCATTGCTCTGTAGTGCTGGAGCTTGAACTTCGCTCCCCTGCACTGCAAGAACTTAATAACCTGCCACCAGCTCGCATAAAATGCCAGAATAAACTTTGAGAGTTGTACATCTTTTCTTTATGCAGCTGCATTAATAAGTCTTGTTGGTGATATCAATGCCCATTAGCTACCAATGTGATGTTACAAATCATAGAACGTGAAATAGTTGCACTTGAAAATTGAAGAGGTATTAAGAGCAAAACAACTGTGCGTTGAAGCAGCCACTGTTTGGCTGTAGTAAGAGCAATACCAGGTATTTTAAGGAGTTTGGTGTCTTTTTAACCTCTCTAAAGCAAAGAACATGAGTGCATAACTTCAAAGAATAAATCAAACACTGTCTTATCTACTCCCACATGAGCTGCCAACATTGGCATCCAGCTAACAAGTTTACTGCAGTAACCTGACCGCGTGTTACTTACAAGGCCAAGGAGCATTTCATTAGCTTCATTAGCTGTGGGGTTATAGGTTACGCTAAAGGGACAGTTCACCCCAAATCAAAAATACATACTTTTCATCTTACCTGTAGTGCTATTTATCAAGCTAGATTGGTCTGAGTTGCCCAGTGTTGGAGATATTGGCTGTAGAGATGTCTGCCCTCTCTTGAATAAAATGGAACTAGATGGCACTCAGCTTGTGGTGCTCAATAATAAAATAAATTTGAAAAACGCAACAGCAGTGTCTCTTTCCAGAAATCATGACCCGGTTACTCAAGATAATCCACAGACCTTGTTGTGAGCAGTTTCATGTAGGAACTATTTTCTTTCACAACTCAGCCCGCCAACTGTATTGCTGCGCAGAAGGAAGTGTGCATCTACTCATGGATAAGAGGCTTGTGGTGGTGAGATGTAAACATGAATGGCGTCCTCCTCAGCTGAGCTGTAATGTTAGCGAGCGGTTGATACGGTTGGCGGGTGTAGAACGGTAGAAAGAAAATAGCTCCTACATGAAACTGCTCACAACAAGGTCTGTGGATTATCTTGAGTAACTGTGTCATGTTTTCTGGAAAGAGACATTGCTGTTGAGTTTTTCAAATGTATGTTTTTTTTGCCACTCTGAGCACCACAAGCTGAGTGCCATCTAGTTCTATCTTTAAGAGAAGGCAGACATCTCTATGGCTGATATCTCCAACACTCAGCAGCTCACAGCCAAAACAATTTAGAGTGATAAACAGCAGTACAGGTAAAGATGTATTTCTGATTTTTGTGTTAATCGTCTCTTCGAAGGCCCATGCACTACTAGCACATCCATTGTGTAGTACTCCTTATTGTGTGGAATCAGAAACTGTGAACCTAAATTTGCAAAACTCTCACGAGCCACTTCAAAATATCACTCTCTTGTTGTTTTATGTAGTGCGACAATGCTGTGGTTAAGGTCTAGTTTGGTTAAGGCACAAAAAGCACTTGATTAAGGTTAGGGAGAGATCATGTTTTGGGTTATAATGATCACTTAAAACATGAATCATGAAAATGTACAGTACAGGCCAAAAGTTTGGACACACCTTCTCATTCAATGCGTTTTCTTTATTTTCATGACTATTTACATTGTAGATTCTCACTGAAGGCATCAAAACTATGAATGAACACATGTGGAGTTATGTACTTAACAAAAAAAGGTGAAATAAGTGAAAACATGTTTTATATTCTAGTTTCTTCAAAATAGCCACCCTTTGCTCTGATTACTGCTTTGCACACTCTTGGCATTCTCTCCATGAGCTTCAAGAGGTAGTCACCTGAAATGGTTTCCACTTCACAGGTGTGCCTTATCAGGGTTAATTAGTGGAATTTCTTGCTTTATCAATGGGGTTGGGACCATCAGTTGTGTTGTGCAGAAGTCAGGTTAATACACAGCCGACAGCCCTATTGGACAACTGTTAAAATTCATATTATGGCAAGAACCAATCAGCTAACTAAAGAAAAATGAGTGGCCATCATTACTTTAAGAAATGAAGGTCAGTCAGTCCGGAAAATTGCAAAAACTTTAAATGTGTCCCCAAGTGGAGTCGCAAAAACCATCAAGCGCTACAACGAAACTGGCACACATGAGGACCGACCCAGGAAAGGAAGACCAAGAGTCACCTCTGCTTCTGAGGATAAGTTCATCTGAGTCACCAGCCTCAGAAATCGCAAGTTAACAGCAGCTCAGATCAGAGACCAGATGAATGCCACACAGAGTTCTAGCAGCAGACCCATCTCTAGAACAACTGTTAAGAGGAGACTGCGCCAATCAGGCCTTCATGGTCAAATAGCTGCTAGGAAACCACTGCTAAGGAGAGGCAACAAGCGGAAGAGATTTGTTTGGGCCAAGAAACACAAGGAATGGACATTAGACCAGTGGAAATCTGTGCTTTGGTCTGATGAGTCCAAATTTGAGATCTTTGGTTCCAACCGCCGTGTCTTTGTGAGACGCAGAAAAGGTGAACGGATGATTCCACATGCCTGGTTCCCACTGTGAAGCATGGAGGAGGAGGTGTGATGGTGTGGGGGTGTTTTGCTGGTGACACTGTTGGGGATTTATTCAAAATTGAAGGCACACTGAACCAGCATGGCTACCACAGCATCCTGCAGCAACATGCCATCCCATCCGGTTTGCGTTTAGTTGGACGATCATTTATTTTTCAACAGGACAATGACCCCAAACACACCTCCAGGCTGTGTAAGGGCTATTTGACCAAGAAGGAGAGTGATGGAGTGCTGCGGCAGATGACCTGGCCTCCACAGTCACCGGACCTGAACCCAATCGAGTTGGTTTGGGGTGAGCTGGACCGCAGAGTGAAGGCAAAGGTGCCAACAAGTGCTAAACACCTCTGGGAACTCCTTCAAGACTGTTGGAAAACCATTTCAGGTGACTACCTCTTGAAGCTCATGGAGAGAATGCCAAGAGTGTGCAAAGCAGTAATCAGAGCAAAGGGTGGCTATTTTGAAGAAACTAGAATATAAAACATGTTTTCACTTATTTCACCTTTTTTTGTTAAGTACATAACTCCACATGTGTTCATTCATAGTTTTGATGCCTTCAGTGAGAATCTACAATGTAAATAGTCATGAAAATAAAGAAAACGCATTGAATGAGAAGGTGTGTCCAAACTTTTGGCCTGTACTGTACGTGAAACTGGGTTTACCATCTAGACACGAATGGAGGCCAGTCCATGCTGTCAGAGCTATCTAAAGTTTGCAGCTCTGAGGTGTTCTTTAGTGGATTTGGGTAAGTTTTCAGCCCAGCAACAACAGCCAGACTCATAATGTTTGGCAACACATTGGTTATTTTTCACACTAAATGACTAGAAGAGAGAGAGGCCTGCTTTTGTCTGCTTCTGTATGAAATTGAAGACCCATTGTTTCAAAAATCACAAAGAATTTTCAGTAGTTAATTTGCCACCATCATGTTGCAAACTGCATTATGGGCCTACCACCACAAGTATATATTATAACTGGAGCACAAACATTTCAATAAGTCCATATATTTGCCCTTTAAACACCATTATGTCTTCTCCTTAAGAGCCAAGTAAGCATAAATGCATAAATAGAGACCATAACTTTTATCGGTCCCCGCAGAGTGGCAGGGTGGCAGTTCAACAACAAGCTGGAATGAATGTTTTGTCGCCTGCCGCCATTTCTAATGGCACCACCACTTATTATTTTTAATCTCCCTTCAACACTGGCTCAGGAAACAATGGCAGTTTCTGGAAACACTGTTAATACGGTTGCAGTGGCCGTTTTCTTATCTGCAAGTCACAGAGGGGGAGAGAGCGAAAGACGACAGAAATAGTTGCTGAATTGGTAAGTAAGTGTGGTTCTATAGAATCCATCCTCACATGCACAAAAAACATAAACACAACATTTCCTGCAGTGCATCAGAAGTACTGTACCACCACTGTATATTAACACCTCCCCCAGGGGGATAAACAGCAGATCTCGGTGCCTCAGGTGTTGTCTGGCAAGGTAAACACTATCCACATGAAGGAACAAATCTGAGTCCTCAGAGAACCTCGTGATAGGCTTACTGCTGTTTCTACGCTGCCAGAGAAACTTAAAACAGCACAGGATATGTAAATTAAGCACAATTTCCTCTACAGTGTTTCCTCATAAGTGTTAAGAGGAGTCTACAGTGTGGATGGAAACAAGAGTAAACCCTGTTTACCTGAAAAACTTTCCCCATGTGTTACAACTTGTCATAATGATCAGACAATGCGCACTACAGGGAGTACAACAAATGGTTGTTGTAATGCTGCAGACTATAACCTACTTCAGGCAGTTTCCACCTCCCACTCTGCCTGTATACTTTCTTTCTTTCGTGGCTCCAATAGCAAGTGACTCCAGTTTAATTTAGAACAAAGAAAAAAAACCTTAATGTGAAACCTACTAAAGGTCACAACCAGCCAGCATCCATCTTGGATCTACACTGGGGAGCCCTTACGGTGC